CAGTTCAGTTTTTGCTTTTCTTTAACTCTTTATTATAATGTCCCTTAATTGCTTCACTTCCTGAAAGACTTACGACAGACTGGTGATCTTTTCCCAGGGAAACATGGCAGTGAAGGGAGACAAAGGCTTTGCTAGCCAAAACAGAATGCTTTCTTTCAGATCCCCAAAAGCAGCTCCTGCTTTGCTGGGGAAGAAGTAGACAAGAAAAGTTTTGTAACTGTCCTTACTAGTGAAGTAGAAATCAAAAGCAAATTAAAAAGAAATAAAGAGACTTAATTTTAGGAATTGTTAATTTCTAATTTATATAGAGGTGATAAGGCATTTTATGGGAGGCTGAGAATAATTAAGCTGTATATATAGTCACTTGATTAAAAACTACCAACCTCTTCTCTTTTTTCCTGTTTCTCCCAGATCAGGAACCTACAAACACTTCAGCTTCCTCTGAATCTTTGGGATCCTTCAGGTGTGGCATTCAAAACTCCTCACACTAGGCTCTGATGGAGAGATTTCACACACATTGTACATACAGGCTTCCAGATTTGGGCAGTATCAGAACTGAGTACAGATTAATTTTATCCATTGATAACACTTTAAACTATTGCTGTTTCTAATGCTCCCAAAAGCTAAGGGGATGTAAATCTGGCATCTTAAATTATTGCCCTATATGTGGAGACTGAGCTTTGCAGTCTGGTTCTGGAGTACACTTTCATAGTCAGTAATGGACTTTGACAGAATTAGAAAATGGAAGTTTAATAACCTGCTAGCCCAAAATAAAAGTAATTTAAACATTAACAATGTATTTTTTAAAAAAACTCTAACTCTCCCATTTTTTTTACAAAACCACATTTTTCCACATTTATACATAGTTAGCCACAAAAGGCTTGTGCCAAATCCTTTGTCCCAAATGATGGGGAATGCTGATGGGCCAAGCCATGAGATCTTCACTGGCTCCTCTCCACAAGAGGTCTGCTTTTTTAAAGCATTACTGTTCCTACCTCACGCTACTTTTTACCATTCCATCACCAAAACTGAACTGAGAAAAACCCAGAGCATTCCTCAGCCACCCAGGTGCCAAGTCCATCTCCTTCTGTGCCACCAGGCCTTTGACACTGACATGCCAAGCTCTGTTGACAGACCCTGGTGTTGGTACATCGGCCTCTGGCAGAGGAGGGTGCCACACACCTGCAGACACCCATCTTTCCCACTACTGCAGATGCTTTGGCTGTACACAGCTCCCCTTGGCTCTAGGCAAAGATCCAAATGCTCCCTGGTTTTGCCAGCTGGCTGTCAGACCCCTGCACATTATCTTCAGGTTTTTAATTACTTGTTTGCCCTAAGTGTACAATCTATTCCCAGTGTGATCACCCAGTGGCAAATATCCTGCTTAGGGAGTTCCTTTCCTGCTGAACTCATGCTGAAGATGCCAGAAAACACAAGGTGTTCCCTTAAATTTGGAGAGTCCTGTTCTTGACCTTAGAACAACTGAATTTCCCTGAGACTATATCAAAGGGAAGTGAAGCAACTTGAGACCACGAGTAAAAAAAAAACAAAAGAGAAGAGAAATATATGCCTTTTTGCCTTTTTCACATTTCCCTAATCCAGTTGCAACCCTTAACAAATTTACTTTCATAATGCTTACTGTGTAGTTGAAGGGTAAAGGATAAGGTTAGTTTTGATGTTTTTATTCATATACCATTTGTGCTAAAACGCTAGGCATTTGGGGTTTTGTTGTTTCTCACAAATACCAGTCTCCCAATTCTTTTTAGTGACAAAATTTCCATTTATTTGATCATTTGTATTTTAACTGTATTAACTCAACATGAATTTACTTGTTTTACACCTTTCACTTCTAAACTCAGTGGATTTGTCTTCTTGTTTCAACCACACTCAGACTTTTTATTTTACTGTGAGATCGTATATCACAGCTGAAGGAGTAATTTTAAACTGACATTTGCCTTTTGTAATCCTGTGTGGAATTGCCTAGATAGCTAAACTTTGTTCAGCCTGTAACTGAAACAGGAAGATGCAGATGTCAACAAACGGGTGGCTCAGTCTCAGATGGCTCCATACAGCATTATATCAGGAGCAGGAGAAGTTTTCCCTGAATGACACATTGGCTTGGGTGCGCTCCAAAGTAACAAAAGGACCAGCATCGTGGCTTAAGCTGTCATATTGCAATACCCTGGCTCTGCTAACAGGACTTTAATAACAACACATTATTTGCCTAAAGCACAACTTTTCATTGACACTTACTAAATTTCAAATAATCCCTTGTCTGTGTACCTAAGGTTTGATATTTAAAACTGATGAGATCTTCAAAGACCAGCTGACAAAGTCATGCTGACATGAATTGTCTCTGAGCCTTGCCAACATTAAGGCACTCTGAGAACTCACTTTTTAAGCGTCTCAGATTTGGTGTCTGGAAAAAGCGGAATATGGGGCCTCTATCACAGAGTGCCTTAGTTACATGTCTCTGAAAGAGGAGTGGCTGCACATGGGGCATGGGACTGCGGCTTCAGGAAAAGGCATGAAGGGACCACTGCGCGGGGGCGTACACGGCCCTGGAATCCGGCTATCTGGTGAGGGGTGAAGGCCAGGGCCCCTGCGCAGCTGAAGCCAGCCCCCCTTGGCGTCTTGGCCTCGGGCTGAGCTGGGTGATAGCTCGGAGCAGCGCGGTGAGAGACGAATTAGGAGGCGACTACTTGCTGGGAGTAAACTGTCGGTTTATTACAGAAGGACTAACAAGGAAGGGAAACACCCAGTAAATGGCTCCGAGCAGGGGGCGGGAGAGGGTTTTAAGGGAAAAGGGGGGAAGAAGGCAGGGAAACTCAGCTAACCAATAGTAATACATATTTGGAGGTACGAAACATAACTGATATACTAAAGTAACCAACTGTTATAAATCATAGGAGGGGCTCTGGGGCTACAGCCAACCATAACTCTCAGAGAAAAGAAAATTCTCGAAACCTGGGAGGAGAAAAAGGGGTGATTGACTGGACCCAAGGAGGAAACAACTTTCACTTTATAAGAGAAACCAGGGGAGGAGCAGTTTCATTTCCATAGCAACCTAACTGACAGGGTAGCAGCAGGAAGTCCTGGGAAAGGAAGAAACCATTTAATACAGAAAATAGGGGAGCAACTAACAAACTTAAGAACACACCACAGCAGACCACTGAGGCATTTGCCTGGAAAGCCATACTGCAGAGAGAGTGCCTTTTTTCTTAATTTTATTAAAAGTCAACCAAATGGTGCAAACAGTGGAGAAGTTATTTGCACTCAGGGTGTCTACACTAGGTCTGTAGAAAGAAAGGACTTTGAGGTATGATCTGTTAACACACTGACAGCTTTTAAGGTGAGGTGGAAAGTTCAGCTGCCACAGAGGACAATTGTCCTTTGTTCCCAGAGAGCGCAGAGGGAAAATTTATTACTCAGCCAAAAATTTAAGCTGAACTGGAGTCATCCCACCAGAAAGACTGTTTGCACAGTTCTGCTTTAACAGTTACTGTCTTGATACTTGGGTGAGAGACTAATAATATGACATGGTGTACAGGAGCCTTCTCCAATTTATCCACTTGACTTCTCACATATTTTCTTCCCATTTGAAATCTTGTAACATTCCTAATCAAAGGTCACAGGAGACACTGATATGCAGGTAAACTTTATATATGGAAAGGCAATGTTATCACAGCTGATAAATCTGGGCTCTCTCTAACATTTCAGAATCTCTCGGAAGAGAGAAGCTGAACTTCGGGTAATTCCTATTTTCAAGCAAATTCTTATGGCTACATGCATTCATACTCCTATATTTTTATAAATGTATATTTACATACATTGTACATATTTGTATAAATTTATGCATATATATTTACACACACCATATATACATATATGCACATTTTAATTCAGTAGATTCTTGGAAAACTACAGCTACTCCCCAGTTAATTTTTTCAAGTAACTCAAAAAGCAGTCTTGGGAAGGAAAAGAATAAAATTAATGCTTCCCATTTTCAATCCAAAGGAGCAAAATAAATCCATCTTACATCGCAAAAGTGAATAATTCATTTTCAAAACAAAAACCTTTTCAAGTGTGTTTTGAAATGTTCGTGGGAAAGACATCATCTTTCATTCTGCCCTAGCTTTTGCTGTCTTGCTCAATATGACAAAAGTCACCAGCAAAAGAACAGGAATAAACTGTTGTCTCCTGGAGGATAAATTCTCTCACATAGTTGCTGTGAGCCATCTGCCATGCATTTTTAAGCATCTTGCCCCTAACATCAGTACTAAGTGGCTGCAGGGAGCACTCAGCATCCCAGGCAGTTACCAACCAATTGGACAGATTGCTGGAAAACACCACTCTAAGAGCACCTTGCTGGGGTGAATCCAGTAAGAATGGCTATGCATTTGGAAAAAAAGGGTCATCAAGTGGTGTGGCTTTTACAGTGGTGCCTAGTATGGCCTCCAATTATGTTTGAAGGGAACAAAGGGACAATGGCCTTGAACATGCAAGTGACTATGTTACATTTACTACCTGATGATTTTAAAATAATTTTAGCTTTAAGGGGAGTATTTAGCTGATGGATAAAATAAGGCATACAAAAGGTGAAAAAATGCCTCCAGCTGGCCTGTTTGGCTCTGATGTGCAGAAAGGGAATAAGATACGTGGGACTATTTTCTTCACACCCATGTATTGCATGATTCAGTATATAACCTGCTTCAGCCCCCACTGCTCTGTTCCTTGGAAAGACCCACATGATGTCCCAAAAAGCTAGGGATGTTCTTAATGGCATTACCACTGTAACAAAACTGGGCTGGTACTAAATGATCACAGCTACTTACACCTCTTCCAGTTGGTGAAACAAAACTCTCTCAAGATAAAACACATAAATAATGGGAAAAATAAGCCTTTTCAGATTAAAATTCTGACAATATCATGTCAACAAGAAAAATACAAGAAAGTTTAAGAATATGTAGTAATCTTTTGAGTCTTGGTATATTTTCTGCTTGTCCCATCACACTTTATCATGGACAGTCACTGTACTGCAGCCCTGCTCATTTAAACTTTTGTGGGTTTTTTGTGGGTTTTTTTTGTTTTGTTTTCTTAGGCTGCCTGCTGTATTTGATGCAGAGAAGCCAAATTGGGTTTTTCTGTGCAACACTATTTCAGCCTGTGTCCTCTGTAGCTTTCCTGCTGTATCTTTTCCTCTCACATTTATTACGCTACCTTCCCTTCCACCCCTTACTTTTGGGCTTGTTCTAGTTTGAATTACAAAGAAATGATAAATTCTATTGAATGTTGTTACAAAAATGTTTCTTCTTGTATTCTGAGGTATTGACCCCATTGTAGCTGCAGGCTCTTTTCAGATCTAAATGGTGCATTTCTTCCAATTTGACCTGCTGTCTCACATGTGTCCTTTAGTAACATGATTTTAGAGCAGAAAAGACATAAAGTTCCACTGTGGGATGTAGAAAAGACCAAACCTTATAAAGTGAGTCTTTCTATTGCCTTTGACTATGTGTGATTTTGGAGATGCTTCTTCTTTCACAGGAACACTGAGTGATACACAGGGTCTCACATTACGTGAAAGCACATTTCTCAGTAACAAATATGAATTTGACCCCTCTTCCTCAAAGTAAAAGACAAAATTCCAGCTGATATTGGCCACAATACCAGCAGAATAACGTTTTGACACTTACACATAGAGAGGTTTGTATAGAGACAGGAAATATACAATCATATTGAGAAGCACATAAAGCATGTTATAAAGGTCTGGCATAGCAATAACTGAGCTGCTGAGTTCATTTGTGCCCTGTCAAAGAAAAATATTATTTCATAAATACATGCAAAGGTTCATGCAGGGGGACATTTGATCCTGGGAAGCTAACTCAGACACAATGTGCTCATTTCCTTCTTTTCCACATTTGGCCCTGTTTCCTGTAAAAAGAAAAAAGAGGATTTTACTTAGAGGGATAGCCTGCCCATGCTATAATCTATGTCACTGGTAAATCATTTGCCTTGTGGATATAAGTGAGCTTACACCCTCCTCTGGCTCTAGAACCTGCTTCCTAGGGCAGCTGCCATTGCTTCAGGAGGCAGTTAATACAACTTTTTCTATTTAAAATTTATTTGTTAACTCTTTAAAAACCCCATGCTCAAAAATGTTGAATAATGTAGTTTCAGTGTATCTCCAGTTCAATTTTATTAAAATCAAAATCTGTATCCTCCTTACAATATCAAAAAAACCCCACAATTTAAATACTGAATAAGCATAATTCTTAAAATAGTCTGAAAGCCCAGCAGAGTTATTAGTTATTAGAATAATCACTTATTAACCTGACCACATAGCAGCTGAATTCTGGATGGCATGGGGAATAATGCCTTTTCAGCATCACAGAAATCAAATTATCCAAGCTTTTTGCAAACACTAGTTTTGCCCCAAGATGACAATGACCTCATTGACTTGTTGCTGTTCCATCCTAAAGCACTGGTATAGCCATGCTGAAAAACCTACTTTCTTGGGCTTGAAATAAGAGAACTGGTCAATGCATAACAAGCTTAGCAGTTTCCTCCCCTTTGACAATGAAGAAGGCTTATTAGCTGGGGGCTAAAAGACTAAAAACCATGAAAAAATATACTGCTTCAGTCAAGTTCACAATACCTGACTGCCTGGAAATGGGAATCTGTGGGTGAAAAAGCACTCTGAAGTTTCTTTTTTGCTGCTATTTGTTGTTGCTGCTGAGAGATGACAGAGGTAATATGGTTAGGGGAAAGCTGTTTTCAGGCAGCAGAACTTTGACTCAAGCAAGGCACAAATCATGACACCAATACTGGCCTATATTCAATAACTGGTGTGAAATTTGCAGTTCAGATTACTGTTTCTTGCTACGTACAAATTCACTGGCATGGTGAGTGAGGGAAAGAAGCAAAAGAAAGGGAGAGAAGATGAAGAAACAAAAGGCTTAACTTTATCACAGGCTTACTCTTGCTGTAGCAAACAGCAAAATCTCCATATTTCCATTACCTGTGGCTACCTTTCAAAGCAAAATTCACCATGGCATTTCCTGTGTTCAAAGGTCACCACTGGCTGAGTTACACAGTCAAGTTTAGTTACACAAGCAAGCTAGATTTTGTTACCTCTTCTTAAGATGGGTAAAATAAGTGCTTTGGAGTGAAAAACATGAAGATTTAAGCATAAATATATTTCTAGGTCCTGGACAAGATGAGATTAACTGCGTATGTGCGTGAGAGAGAAAACCTCTCTCCACCCCTGGTTACTTCCTGACCTGCTGAATATTTATTCAAATACTGTAAATACTTACACCCTTTGTTTAGGATGCAGAGACTGTAATTCAAAACCTCATTAAGAAGCCAGTAGACATTTCTATTGCAAGGAACAAGTAATGACATCAACAAAATCTGATAACTTGTCAAAGAAAAAGTGTACAATGCAAGAACAGGGGCCTTCTTTGCTTCTCTATGACAGAGCAGGAGTCATTATGTGCTCCCTTTTCTTTGACACACACACCTTTGTATTCTTGAAGGGAAAGGGCGACCTGGGGCAGAAGACAACACCTGGAGAAACAAACCAGATAAGAGAGACAAGACATGGTAGTATAAGCATATTGGCGTGAATGTACATGCGTTCTAAACAGCCAGTAGTGAGCCCTGAATTTGAAGGAACACACACTCAATAGCTGCTGTCAAACAGAGCTGCACTGTAAAAAGATGGTGGCAATCAGACTCTCTTGGAACAGTTAATGTGAGAGGTGGAAATGCAACATAAAAAGGAAAATAATATGGGGCAACCAAAAACTCAGGTGTTCTGGCAATGCCCACTACTGCGATATGACTTCCAACATAAATTACTTTATATTGAAAAGGAAAAGAAGAAAAAAAAGAAAAAAAAAAGGAGTTTAAGCTTTTATACATGCAAATTTTGCATGTGTCTTCTGTTTACATGTGTCTATACATATAAATATGAGTGTAAGCATTAAATGCATGCATTAACATATGAATACCTCAAATAACATAAAACTGAGGTAGACAAAAACTCTCTTCCAAAAGCAAAAGCACAAGCTTCTTGCACCCTGCGGACTGAAATCCAGAGGGCAAAAGAGGAGATAGAGAATGAGGAAACCAGTATGCTGTGCATAACACTTGTGTGATACCAGTCCAATGTGTCTGTGTGATATGTGACTCATATGCACATGTAAAACAGCTCAGACAAAATCTCTGTACGTGGTGGTTGGGGCAGACAGAGGAGCTGAGCCAGCAACGGCCTCATTGTGTTGTAGGCTGAGCCAATTCAGCAGTATTCCCAGAGTGGCAAAGGCCCTCAAATCTTTGTAACTCTTTGATAATTTCTTCCCTGAATTCATTGTGGTAGGCAAACGGCAGAGTTTCTTGCGCTGTTTTTGTTTCTGATGTTCTCCAATAAATTTATTTAACTTCTTCTGAGTGAGATAAAAACTCCTTTTGAAATGCATTTCAAAAAAATCTGATTAACCTCTCTTCTATTTCAGGGTCATAAATAACTCTGACACTCAGAGAAGGCTGCAACCTTCAAGACAGTTCAGCCAACAAGGAGATGACTCCCACCTTCTGGATACGCAAACCTGGATGTTAAGCATGCAATTTCCTCTCATTCTTCCATTTAATTTAATGCCTCTGATAATATTTTCACAGAATAGTCTAAACTAGTTCCAGTAAAATGAGATGTTCACTTTTTTATTTGTAATAAGGTTTGTCTTGATTTGAACCGTGGAGATAAAAGAAGTTCCTTGAAGCAGAACTGTTTTCTAAATCTGCTCATCAGTAAATATGCCTGATTCACCATAACCAAGGTCTCTGTTTATTAGTTCATCAGCTAGGTTATGAAGTCACTGCTTGCAAAACCTGTAGGAGTCCCATTGGCAAGGTAAAATCCTATTAATACAACTGATGCAGCTGGGGAAAACCAGGCAAACTTGGAGCCTTATATTCTTCTGTTAACAATGCTTTCATTCATCAGAAACTAATTAGAAACGTATCATTCCTCCAGAACTTGTATCTAGCTTACTACAGCTTTACCATTAAACCCTGTCTAAGCCAAACAGAAATACAAAGATGACAAGGTGTGGTGATCTTTCTCAGAAGCGTCAGAGAATCTTCAGAGCTGTTCTAACCAAAACTTATTACTGGAAAGATGCTCTAGAAGTCATAATTCAAGTGTGCCTCCCCAACAGGAGAGCAAAGGCCAAGATAAATAATTGGAGAAATTAAACATCCTCACAAAGCAGAGGAAAGAGGCAGAAGAATGACAACCAGTTAAAGCATGGCAAGACATCTATACATTGCTGATAAACAAATCCTGTCTTTGCCTCACCCAGACTAAAAGACTCAGATGAGATAAATACTAGAAGCCAAAGCAAGGCCCATTGTGTGTTTCTTAATGTTTTCTTTATGATGATTATAGACTTGGACCCCAGCAAATTTGAACTTGCTAACTGCAACTCCCATCATTTCATCACAAATTACTTAACAATGCTTTTTTGAGGAGATTTACCTGCAAGCTGTCCTTGAGATGTGACAACATTCTTCTTGAAGACTCAAACACTTAATAAACAGAGGACTACGTATTTTTTTTTAGTAGGGTTAATTTTCTGCCGGTTTAACTCCATGAGTTACCTTTCCAAGGGCCAGCCCACCGCTGGCACCAGCACAAGGGAAGGAATGTGAGTGTCTGGTGGAGCTGGGAATGTTTGTTTCTTCAGAACTCAGTGGCCCTCAGTGCAAGGGCACCTCACACCCCTCTCGGGCTCACCAGATCCAATACAGGTGTCACCCACCTTCACACAATAGCTCTGGATCCAGGGGAGCTGATGTCATCTTTAAGGTAGCAACGCTGTTTTGTGGCGCCAAACCTCTGCTGCCTCTCCGTAAGTCAGGCAACTGAATATATTTGGAATGAAAACCAAGACTCAAAATTAAAAAAAAAAATTACTAATGGGAACTACTTGTGACTTGAGGGTTAGTGCATTGCTGGCATGGTTTTGCAGCTAGGCACCTGAATATGAAGGGACCTTAGAAATACAGCTTTGGCAAGGATGAGCTCATGATTTCAGATTGCTCCTTGCTGCAAAAATATACACTTGCCTCACATTTGCAATGAAAGAGTTACTATAATTGTTGTCCTTATCTAGTCTAAGCCTTTTTTTTTTTACGGGGCTTAACCAAGCTGCATCACTTTCTCATTTATATTAGAAGCCCCAAAAGTGTCTCCTAGACAGACACTGGAAATTATTAAAGTATTAATTAAAGTATCTGTTTTAACCCTGAGTGACCAAACCCAACTTTATGCCCTGTACTGAGCGTTCCTCTGAACAATTCAAGGAAAAATGCTGCTATTTATCCTGAAGCTGAGAAGCAACAGGAGAATTAGCATGCATGTCACTGTGTTCAAATCCCTGAAAAAGTTGACAATTATATTTGCAAGTATAATTCCAGACTGTCCAGGGAGATGACAGACAAGCAGGTGCAGACTTGCCTGAAAAGGAAGCTGCTTTAAGGCTGCACATGTAACACAAACAGAAGGAATCTCCCCACTTCCTTGCAAAGATTTTAAGGACATGATTTAATGAATTGTTTGACACAAAACTGAGTAAATTAAAGAAGAGAGGTAACAGAAGGCAAGTGAAGTATTAGCCTGTACCTTCTTTCCAAGCCTTCTGTTAGCCAAGGCAGGAATAGCCTTGTTGTCTCCTCTGGAAAACTGAGGATTTGAACATTCACATTATAAAGCAATGAAAGAAGGGCACTTACTATAATTATTCAGGGAAAACACTTGTGGTACTGGAATTCACTAGCAAGGAACAGCTTTTTTAGCTGGCTAAATGCAGGAGGGAAGCTTGACAGAGGCAGTTTTGGCAGAAAAACTAGATGTTATGTTCAGTGTATTCTGAACAAGTACTTGGCACACAAAGTGAACTCAGTTGAATGTATTCAAGAAGCAACAAGCTGTGAAATGTGTGTTTAGCTTAGTAGATTGGCAACAGTGGCTTCAGTCAAAGAAAGGACCACCTAGCTTCTCTTGTTTGGAGGTCTTACCTACTGCAGTTTGTCACAGACAGATTATATACTGTTCACATAGTTGTTTTTTTTTCCTGTAATCTGTCCATTAATATTGGCAGGGTTGACTTTCCAATGGAATATTCATATTAGTCAGAAATTAAATAATTTGGTAAACCTCATTACAAATTGTCACTGCAGAACATGCTACATTTCAGCTCAATCATCTGTCTAGCATTGGTTTTTACCCTGACAGAGTCAAGGCCATGGCCATGGAGCTCAAAAGGTGTCCCTGCTATCCCTAGCACTGCTGAGGCTCTGGGAGCCCAGTGCAAAGAAGGCTTTACACCCCAAGTGCTTGCAGGGAACTTTGCCTCTGAGGAAGGGACAGTCAGAGCCGCTGTTCACCTTTCCTGCACGATCTCCTCTGTTTGGCTAGCAGCAGCCAGTGGAACAAAGCGAAGGTGAGAGCAAACAGAAGTTCCAGGCTGCAGCTGACAGGAGAGATGCATGGAGCCAGATGTGCCTGTGGGACCCTCAGAGCCTGCACAGTGCACAGCCTGTACGGCACAACAGCCCTGGGCGTGCTGCTCGGGCTGTCAGAGTGAAAGCACACACAGCGAAGGCAATTGGAGCCAGGGACATGAACAGGTGTGGGCATGTGTTTTCCCCAGCACTAATCCTTAATGTTTTTATTATCCATTAATAAAATAACCACATTGATTTAATAATGTTTTTACTCCTCCTTACATAAAAGAAGATGCAGATTGTATTTTGTTGTTGTTGGGTTTCCCCTGCCCCAAAAAATCTCTATTGAGAATATTCATAGCAAAAGTTTGAGAAAATTAGAGTAATCATGAATAAAACAAGTCTTTCTTATTTACAGCATGCTTTTAAAAAAGCATAGTTCTGTTGGATTTTTTTTGCTTCTGTAAAAGAGGCAAGAATTTTTCTACAAAATTTTATCTCACTTTCTCCAATGTTATGATTAGATGTGTTTCTAGTTATCTATTGATTCCAAATTATTAACTAGGCTACAAGAACTAGTTACATCTGCACTTTAGATGTAGATATTCTTCTTCAAAATAATATATAACATTTGTCTACTGACAAGCAAGAGTTTTTAATTTAAAATTTAAAATAATTGAAATACAAATTTTGGGTGTACTGTAATAAAGTTGTTAACCGAGTTATTATTTTAAATGACACTTTATTTCCAAAGGGGTTGGTTTTTTCCACTAATTGAGGAAGAAATATTATTTTATGAAATGTAAAATATGGCACAAAGCTGCACAAGCTTGAACTGTTATTTGATTGCATTTTAAATTCCTCTTCATGCAATGTTTTCTGCAATTTATTTTTACTGTCATGATCTTAGTTCTGTCTTCTGTACTCCCCCACAAAGCTTGAAAATATTGGCATAAAATATGATATTTAAAAACAAAAACCCCTGAAATATCATTGAGATTCTTCACATTTGCACATTTGCTTCACATTACTTTCTTTTTGTGGGCACTTAACTTCTTCAAGTCCAAAGACATATCTCTGGGGCTATTTGATTTAAACATATGCCAAAGTTTCTCACTTCACTGCATGACTCTGACATCTGACTCTAAGAAAAACACCTACTATTAAAAAAGATGTGATGCTATAATGATCTAACAATGATCAATTAAATCCAGGCCTGAATTCTAATGTATTTCAAGTGACAGGCACCTCTGTTTAATGCTGAGATACTGGCTCAGAAGTGCTTAGCAATATGAATCTGACATCTGGATCGGTTTGCCATTCTTTCATGCACCCCCAAATTTAACATCCAAATCTGTTTTAGCTTCCTCTAATAAGTCTCTGGTTTTTTAGTGTGTTTATAACACTGTTATAAACTTACTGACCTGCCTAACTACAACATGCTTAAGACAGTTTATTCCATCCTTGCACACTAGAAGTTATTTATTAATTCATTCTTTATTTGTGAAGCTGATTACTACAAGTGTATGTATATGATGGCCAGCAAGAGAAACCAAACCAGGCACCATTAAAAATCAATGCTGTTTGAGGGTTTCTAACCAGTGTAAAAGAGAGCTGGCATTCAGGCAACAGGCAGCATCTTAAAATGCACTTAAAATGCAATATATTAAGCAAAAGATAAGAGCAAACCCCACAAAATATTCAGCACAGTGCATTTTCCCAGGAATTCACTAGACCCCAATACTATTGTCATGATATCTTATGAAATTGAGTTATTTAGCACTCACAGCAGATTGAGGACAGAAACTGCAGAAGTAGTCCACTTATAAAAGCCCTATTCACTCCATTGAGCAGAAGTTCAGCTCCTTTATTTGAAACAAAATACAGTACTCAACCAAAAAGCAAACCCAGACTCAACTACCTCAAACAGCTGAAGCATTACTGAAAATTGTCATGTTAAAGTCCTCCATGACCTGAGCCTAGGGCCAAACTCACCCGTGGTGCAATTCCTTTGACTTCAATGGAGTTGTGCTGGCAACCACCTCAGCTGTACTTGGCCCAGTGCCATTATTTATACAAGGCTGTGCTGTGTGTCTTCACTTGATAAATGCCAGCACTGTAGAGCTCCAAAAAGTAAAGAAAAAACATTCTTCAATAATCAGAACAAGACAAGAAATGCAGAGACACAAACTGCAGCAAGACAGATAAAAAAAAATTTACAGCTGCGCTATGTGAAAGCAATTAGCAAAAGGTTTTTCTTGTATTTAAATAAAAATGTATCATCACAACTAGCATGACCTTCTTTCTAGTAAATGGGCTACAATTTGACTCTTTCATTTCTGCTTTGAGCCACAATTTTTCAATTAAAACTAGAAGTGGGATGAGACAAATTCTGACTGACTTTCATGGAGAGACCCTGGCCTGCAGTTTAACAGACTTGAAGGAGTGTAGGACTTGCAAATACACTTTCAACATCTTTAAATTTGGAAATATTTAGCACTGCTACATGAAGCAAAGCAAAATCTTCAAGACTCACAGGAACAAGATCATTAGTTTGTATTCAGGTAACATGCCTGTCACGTTACTAGAAGCTGTTACTTTACTAGGGGCTTTACAAAGCCTTTAAGGATAAACATGAAGGCCCTAACCTACCGTTTTGTTGAATTGGCATAGATGATCTTAACACACTTGTAAGGCAGTAGAAGGCACTAAATAGCACCTACAAAGCAGGCTGTGTGTGGCACCTGTGTCTCAGGAGCTGACTGATCTGTCAGGAAATCAGTGTCAGCACGCAGCCTGGCTGAAGACAGTGAATGAAAATTCCCCCAGGATCTCCCTAAAGCCAACATTTTTCATTTCCCATATATGCTGGTGGCTTTTTTAAAAAAAAAATCAATCTGGTATGTGTATCTATATATACATATATTGTAGTGTATATATGCATATATTGTGTGCGTATCATCTGATGTGGCAACTGAGTTGCTTCTTCCTATCTAAAAAGAATAAAAGAGAAGATGGTATATTTAATTAGAGAAAACCAGCATTTGTGATTAGCTTCAGTTAAAGCACAAGTCCCTCTCTCCCTCTCTTAGTTTCTGTATTGCTGTCCTTCACTGGATTTTCCACCCTAAACATGGTTCTTTATCATTCCCTTAACACAAGGGAATCATGCTATCAGCACAACAGTGCTTTTTTTATCTCTTTTTTGATGCTTTCTCTTTTTTTTCCACTAGCTTCCTTCCAAAAACTCTAGCTCCATCAATGTGCAGCCATTGTAAAAACAGATTTATGTATTTTACCTCCTTTTTAATAAGCTCCTGCAGTGCAGCCTTTCGGAGAATATTTTAGATAGTTTTGCTGTTCCCATTATATCAAACACGTGTATGTTATTCTTCTTTATCTTCTGCAGACAAGAACACAAATCTGCATTCCTGCAAGCTTTCTTCCAGTGGTAATCAAGGTGTTCATACCTGGACTGTGTCAGACACACCACTCTAACAAGTGAGCTGCTCACTGTTATTCCATCTACAGTGGTGCAATACTCTATAATCCAACACACTTTTCTACTGTATCAATTTCTGGGCAGACAAGCAAAGAAATTTGACAAGCTTTTTATATTCACAGAGATTTCAAGAGTAGTAGTTAAATACACTTTAGAGGATTTGTCCAAATATAATTTTTACTTTTGATGGCTGTATTAATGGTAGCTTAAAAGCATAGGATTAATATGAGATTTTCAGGTATATTAAATCTGGTATTATAAACAAGACATACAATCTTGCTCATAATACATACTATTTCATTTTACATAGATTTTCTTTTTTTTTTTTTAAATCCCCCATTGCCATGGAACGGTATACCTGAAGCTTACATCATGTTCTTCTCTCCAGCCCAACTGTACTCGGAGCCACTGACAAATCTACTGTTTCTTGTACATAATAATTTCACTTAGCCCTTTGGTTTTGTTCTCACTCCTTTCATTCCTGTCACAGACATCTTTTCATGAAAATCCTTTCCTTGGGATTTTTTCCTCCTGAGAAGATGAGAAGCCTCAGGGACAAAATGTAAATAATAATTATCTGCTGCTGTGGAATGCAACAGGTGCATCTGTGATTGGTCTCATGTGGTTGTTTGTAATTAATGGCCAATCACAGCCCAGCTGGCTCTCTCTCTGTCCGAGCCACAAATATTTGTTATTCATTCCTTTCTATTCTTAGCTTAGCTAGCCTTCTGAGATGAAACCTTTTCTTCTATTCTTTTAGTGTAGTTTTAATGTAATATATATCTTAAAAAAATAAATCAAGCCTTCTGAAATATGGAGTCAAGTCCTCATCTCTTCCCTTATCCAAAGACCCTGGTGACCACTGTCACACATTCCATTTCCTCAAGTGATATAAATAGAGGACTTTCAACATCTTTTAAAGAGAGACACTCCTCTCAAATCACCTCTGCGCCTTTTTTGTTTTACAATTCACCTCCCATGATTGCAGAGGATCAGGACAGCATTTGGGATGTGTCCCAAATGTAGTGTTCTCCATGGCCCAGCAGAAAGGTATTTGAAGCAATTTGAAGTAAAGGTAATTTTTGAAGCAATTAACAACTCCCTCAGTCTTTTGGAAGTGTTTTGCCTAAAATGTGAGGCCTTTCTGTGGACACAGCCTGACTGTAACTGTCTCCTGTGTGTGATGCAACTGCAGCCAGAATATAAAGCCCAGCTCTGTGGGAGAAAGAGATCTGTGCTCAAAAGTATTCAAAGCTGAGGAACTGCTGCTGTAGTAAACTCCATGGACCTAGGTAAAGCTCCATGGAGGATCGAACAGTAGGAACTGCTGAGACAGCAAATAAGTTCCTGTCTCTCTGGCTCCCGCCCCAAAGCTTATCTCTGTAACCCTATAGGCCACTATACCTAACCCTTACTATTGGTCAAGTCTGGATTCCCCTATACCCTCTAAAAGGGGCCTATTTAGCCCATTTGACAGAAGAAGAGCTGTTGCTGGGACCTTTGCGGCCTCCCTTGCAATAACCATCGCTGTGGAACACCAAGGCCCTCCCTTCTCCTCTCTTGCATCTGCTGCAGCCTTAGCCAAGGGCACCCTGCCTAGCAAGCAAGAGCTGAGATCCTAAGAGAGCTGATAATCACTGAAGAGCTGACAATCACCAAGCTTGCTAATGGGGTTAGCCCGCATAGGCCTCGAGCTAGCCTAGCTTTTGGGCACCCTGCCTCCCTGAGGACTGGGCTCCCAGCCTATCTTGCACTCCTTGATAATAAGGCCAGAATAGAGGCTTTATTATATGCTGCAGCTTGTGGGGGCTGAGGAGATTTTTCTTAGCCCCTAGGTTGATGTTGGTTGAGAAAAACACTGATGAAGTAGGAGAGCAATTCATAATACAATATGGCTTTTACATATTGAGGTTCTTAAATTTCATTACAGTGTGTAGAGTTATGAAGCATTAGATTCTGCAGTTCAGCACTGCAGCAACAACTGCCAGGTATGGTTACCTTCTGACAATTGCCTGTCCAGTGGGCTGAGAAAGGCAAATCAGCCTTAGCCCAGTCCTCACCTGAAAAGTCATCTTCATGAAATACTTCATACTATAAATTTGCACTAAGTGGTGATGGTAGAAGAGACAAAGATTGAATAGATGTTTGTGCCATTTCTTTCATGCCTCCAGGCAATCCCTCTTGGTCATGGTTCAGATATTTTGCTGAGAAGTAAAGACAGGGGTGTTTATCTTCCCTCCCTATATCCAGCTGTCTTCTAGGGAGGAGCAAATAGAGATTAAATGCTTTTCAGACAGAATTTAGTCAGGTGAATTCATTTTTCTTCAAATTATTTTTATATGCTTATATCTCACACTATGTTTCCAGGGAGATATACAGATTTTTCAAAATTTAAGACTGTTATTGAAGGTGTCATGTGAAAATTTTACCATTTACATTCTAGACAGCCTAACAGATAGGGGCAGGGGGGAGAAGAAGGAAAGAAACTAAAATTGTAGAAAACTAATTTACCTTTCCACAGAAGCTAGATCCCAATTATTTACTTTCCAGTCTTTTAAAATGCTTGAAACATTATTTTGTGCATGCTATTACACCTTACCTGGATGCATACTCATTTCCAAGTCAGATTAAGATATTTTAGCCTCCCTCACAATGTGTCTTTAAATACCAATTAAATAAATATTTAATTGTCTAAACATTTGGTTTATTTTTTGCTCATCATTTGCTCAGCATGTCTAGAGAAGGGGAGACTGAGGGGAAAACCCTAATTGTGATCTTCAACATCCTCACAAGGGGAAGAAGAGGGGCAGACACTGATCACTTTAGCTTTGTGATCAGTGACAGGACTTGAGGAATTGGCAGGAAGCTGAGCCAGGATTGGATATTAGGAATAGGTGATATTCCTGATATCACCAGAGGGTGGTTGAGCACTGGAACAGACTCCTCAGGGCAATGGCCACAGCACTAAGCCTGACAGAGCTCAAGAAGTGTTTGGACAATCCTCTCAGGCACAGGGTGTGATTCTTGGGGTGTCCTGTGAAGGCCATGAGTTGAACTCAGTGATCCTTGTGAATCCCTTCCAACTCAGGTTATTACATGGTTCTGTGATTTTTGCATTCTATACCTCCTCATACACACAGCAAAAATGCTTAAGAAGAGAAAAAAGAAATTTAATGGTTATTCCTTGGGGATCCCTGGAAATATTACACACATTCAATTTAAATTCACAAGGAAACACTTTTCCAGATTTTCTGGTTTGTTTTCTTAAATAATATATGTATTCCACATCCACTAGAACAATAAAATAAGAGGCACAAAAATATTTTAATGCTTAATTATAACCGTTTCATGCATTATCTATGTATTTTCTTTCTATTCTTGTTTTTAATGGCAAGTACCTACACAGAATGTTGCGGTGTGTTGTAATGTCCTGTTTTAGATTTCCAGGTCACCTCCCAGGTGTGGCAATACCCGT